CTCTATGAAGGAGGGGCTGCACCCACGTGTATAATACTGTACAGTGAGGCTCCATGGGAGATGTGAGGCCACTCTCACAATTGGGGCATGAGGCCAGACTCACAACTGGCCTGGTCCAGTAGAACATGCTACTAACTACTAACACTGAATGGGCCATTGCCCTGGTTGGCTAGGGGACAGTAGCTACCATTGGCCTTAGGAAGGAGGCATAGCAGTGGCTGAATAGCAGAAGGCAGGCGGAGTGAATCTTTGGCTGGGTATGGCAGAGGCAGGTCACCAAACTAGCTGGCCCATGATTCAGATCCCGTCCAGCAGGAAGTGGGATAGCAGAAGGAATATACTACCGGGCTATGAGGGGTGACAGGACACTGTGTTTTATTGACCAATGACCTTGGTCCCCTTTCTGTGCCAAGTCCATACCTGCATAAGGTACTGAGCCCGCTCTGACCACAGGTTGTGCTTCTCGTATGTCTTCAGCTTCATTCTTCGGTTCTGGAACCAGGTCTTCACCTGCAGTGAGGGGTCAGAGATAAGGGCAGGGGGAGGAAGGAATGGGATAAGACATTTTTCACCTCTTACTCACAGGTTACAATGAGCCTCTTGAGTCCGGGTGTGGTGACTGGAGGGCCCAGGGAATCAGGGAGTGGAGTGTAAAGCATCTGAGTGGTTGCTGGTCCAGTCTGGCCCCAGTTCAACCTTAGCTGCCCACCTACTGGCCTATACAAATTGTGTTGGTGGATCTCTGTCCAATGCCTACATTTGTCCACATTGTACCCATCACTGTGACATGCACATACATTACAGAGATGAAAAACAAATGTGGCTTGCAACCAGCACAAATCAGCCCCAACAGTGTCTACGGTCCCACCCATAGAATGGATTAAATCTCTCCTAACTGCAGGCCAAAATTAAGGAAAAGTGTGTTTGTGGGGAGGGCAGAAGCCTTCCCTGCATCCTATCAGTCCCCCAAATCAAGATGCCTGATGGGGACAAATTCCAAAGCCAACTCCCCTAGGGCTGTCTGCACTAACAAGGAGAACACTTCAAGGATGTTGATTGCAGCAAATAGCTGGTTGTCTCACTTGTTTCTGACAAAAACCAGTTTGGGGAGGGTGGGGGAGCTTGTTTGTGTTTGTTGTCCCAGTGCATCCTGGAATACCTGAGGCATCAAGACCAGAGTGCCCAGAATTTACTTTTGGTTAATACTATTCAAATGTGCTGCATTGTGGGATAGGGTTAGGAAGAATTTGGCTGAACCATGGCAGCTACAATGCTTGTGGCTTTTCATCCATTCTAGGAAGAGACCATTTTAGATAGCCCCAGTTCAGCTGATCCTGAGCTAATGATTTCAGCGCCGGCCTTCCAGCTGTGGTACCAGTGAGGCTCATAAATGTGTGTGTGGAGCTTGCGGCATCTGCAATGATGCCTCATGTTAAGCTATTCCAAGCAGATCATCGTTTTTCTCTTTGCCTGTATGGGCCGATGAGTTCGTGGGAGGAGTTCAGCCCTGGGGAGAGCTCACAGCAGCTTCCCAGTGGGGAGGAACTAGTCTATGCCAGGCCATTCAGAGCCTTCTGGGGTAGTTCACTGGTGCCTGGCACTGCCCCCAGGAGAAGACTGAGAACTCGTGGCAAAGCACAAAGTGGATCATTATGGGGATCCACTTACTGCACAAGCACACCACATACCATGGTGTCACGGCACTGCCAACTGGGTCAGGCCTTGAAAGTATGAGAGTTGTCATTTTTAAGCCAGATTTTAACAACAGGTCTCTCTCTTTGCCTCATGGGGTTGGAACCCTCAGGGGGTATGTCTACACTACCCTCCTAGTTCGAACTAGGAGGGTAGTGTAGACATACCGCACTTGCAAATGAAGCCCGGGATTTGAATTTCCCGGGCTTCATTTGCATAAGCCGGGCGCCGCCATTTTTAAATCCCGGCTCGTTCGAACCCCGTGCCGCGCGGCTACACGCGGCACGGACTAGGTAGTTCGGACTAGGCTTACTAGTCCAAACTGCTGTTACTCCTCATGGAACGAGGAGTAACGGTAGTTCGGACTAGGAAGCCTAGTTCGAACTACCTAGTCCGTGCCGCGTGTAGCCGCGCAGCACGGGGTTCGAACGAGCTGGGATTTAAAAATGGCGGCGCCCGGCTTATGCAAATGAAGCCCGGGAAATTCAAATCCCGGGCTTCATTTGCAAGTGCGGTATGCCTACATTACCCTCCTAGTTCGAACTAGGAGGGTAGTGTAGACATACCCAGGGGGACATGCTGGAAGGCTAGAAGCCCCGCCCCCATCCCCTTTAAAAAAATAAAGCTGAGCTAATCACAGCTTCATGTGACTCAAGATCTTTAGAAAAATCACCAAATATTGGCAGATTCACAGTAAAAACTGCAGTTGGAAATACCAGCATTAACTGGTTCCCTCAAGGTGAGTTGCCACAGAGATGCCAAGGACAGACTGGGTTTTAGCATATTCCACCCATGGATCTCAAAGGAGCTCAGTGTCATTATCCTCATTGTACAGATGGGGAAACTGAGTCACAGAGAGGGGGAAGTGACTTCCTCAAGGTCAAGTAGAAGGCCAAAGGCAGAGCTGAACACAGAACCCACCTCCCATTGAGTGCTTTATTCACTAGGCAGCACTGTCTCCTACCTGAATTTTCCCTTCCCCTCTGAGATGGGTTCTTCTGGGGGCAGGACAGAGGCATTTTGGGAGCAGGAGATGGACAGTTATGTGAGTGTGGGGAGTGTGCTCTCTCACAGCAAGGTCCTGCACTGGCTCTGAGGATAAATACAGATACTGCCAAGGAGCACCTTTGCTCTGTGTCCATCAACCTCCACCCTTATGTCCCTGCTTCTCTTGCCTTGTACAAACATTCAGGGGCAACCCAGCCACTGCAAGGAGTCACTGCGTGCTCTTGCCATTCACCTGCTTATATGTGAGCCCCAGAGCTGTAGCCAGCTCTAGCATCTCCTGGGTGCTGAGATATTTCTGGCTCTGGAACCGCTGGTGCAGGGTTTTCAGCTGCTCCTTGGAGAATGCTGTACGGCTCTTGGCTTTCTTCACCCCTTTCTCTCCTTCCTTCCCATCCTTCTGGAGCTTGGATGCAGGTTGGGGGGGTGAGGATTCTGTCTGGGGGCTGGTGGCCGAATCTGGTGTGAAGTGGCTGAAATTCCCAGAACTGGAAGAAGCAGGGGAGAGATCTAGAGACAGAGGGGGAAGTAAGCTGTAATGAATTTACATGTCACATACACATACCGGTCTCTACTTGATGAGATCAGAACTACCTCTCTGTGTAACATAGGCCATATACTGCTAGCAGCAAAGAAGAGTCTCCTTTAGTTCAAACTCTGAGAAACTGCACCTTTGTAGCAAAATAATCTGATGTGTATCCCTGTGTGAAGTTTCAAGTGGTCCAAATAAGCTGCACAGTGACATCCTAGGTGGGCAGTTGATTCCTACATCTCAAAATCCTCTACCCCCTTGTCCTTCTGTAGAGTATTTGGGACTTGGGTATGAAAAACACTATAACTATATCTGTCGTGGTTTAATCTGGCCACAAACTTGACACTGGCTGCCAAGATTGCTATCATATCCTTTTGCTCCGACAGCACAGACCTTCAGTGTTTGTGCTAAAAGAGAATCTGTTTGCTGTTGCAGTATAGGGCCTCTGTCACACAGAAGAGCAAGCAGCTCTGCTCAGGATGAGTGTAATTATGACCCTTTAACAGATGGACAAGCTTAGGTGCAGAGAGGTGAATGATTCACCCACGGGCACACAGTGAGTCTGTGCACTGGACTCTTGGGCTTAGGTCTGGTGATTTTTGTGCCTTGATCTGGGGTCCCTGATCTGAAATATCTTTAAAGGGGCATGGTACTCAGAGCCCAGGTGTGCTCAGCGCTCTGAAAAATCAGACCTCTTTAAGAGGTCTCACATTGGGGGCACTCCTCTGCTCTAGCCATCCGACCCAACTGTCTCATCTTTCCACTCTACTAGTGCCTTCTGCCCACTCAAAGGTCTCAATGCACTTCACCAACTGGCAAATGTGCCCTCCCCAGCCCACTGCTGTGAGTGGGGTGGGTCTCATCACCACTGAGGTAAGGTAACAACCAGAACATCCAGCCAGTTTGCTTGACTTACAGCCCACTGGCTGCCACCCCCCTTTGCAAAGTGCCTGAGAACTAGAATAGGATATTAGAATAGGATATTATGCTTAGGAGACCTTTCAGAGAGGAGCTGTATTAATCTGTTTCAGCAGAAACAACGAGGAGTCCTGTGGTATATCAGAGACTAACAGATTTATTTGGACATAAGGCTTCATGGGCATGGCCTCCTCATTGTTTCTGCTGCTGAGAACAAGAGGAGAAATGCACAGACAGAGGACACAGGGACAGGTTGGAGAGCTGGGGTTCTGCTCCAGAGAGAGTATTCAAGAGGACAGAGGAACCCACAGAGACTCTTGCCAGGAGAGCTATTCTAGGGGGGTCTCTGCCTGTAGGACTAAGCCAAGATTGAGATCTAAAGAAAAAGCTTCCTAAGCAACCTGGGCTATTAGTCCAAACAAAAGCTGCCACCATGCCAAGCCATTGAGGCAGCATGAATAGGAAAATGTTAACAAGTGAGATTAGGCAGATAGCACTCCATTAGGTGTCTGGCATGTGTGGATGCAGCCAGCACTGGGGGCCAGGAGGGTTGTTTGCAAGCCTGGACACATGCCCTGGGACATTTCATTCCCTCTCCCCGAGCCCCCCCACTTTTCACCATTCTGTCTGCTCCCTGATTTTAACCCCTACCTATCCTTTCCCACTCTCCCCTTGTAGGGAGGGGAAGAGTTAACAACCATGTGGGGAAGACAGTTTCTGGGCCAATAAGGGCACATCTACACAGCAGGTAAGTCAAATTAAGCTTCACAAGTCAAAATAGCTTAATTGGCTTTTGGCACTGTCTACACAGTAGGAAGAGCATTCTTCCTTTGACTTCCCTTACTCCTCCTGAAATGAGGGTTACAGGAGTTGGAGTAAGAAGTCCCCCAGCTCGCCATGATTCCAAAATACGGGCTTGCAGTGTAGACATAGCCTAAAGGAATTACTCTTAGATCTTTAGAGACCATCCTAACCCATCCTTAGTTCCAACCCTGAACCGAGGTTAAGGATGGCCGGAAGCAGTGCGGCAGGGCATCAGATTAGGACTTAGAGTGTGGAGCTGCTGCCTCAGGCTAGCCGAGGGCTGTGCTTAAAGGGACCCGACCCCCACCCCGGACAGACAGTTCTCAGGGTTCCCCACTTGCAAAGCAGTCCTGGCTTGGAGTGCCCTGAGTGCCCACACTGGGCACATCACAGCACTC